CTTACATTTCTTGTGCCATGCACAGTCTGTGCTACTACAGTCTTGTGCTGCACAGTCTTGTGCTGACACATTCTTGTGCTACACAGGTCTTGTGCTTGTAACAGTCTTGTGTGCACAGACAGTCTTGTGCTGCACAGTCTTGTGCTGCACAGTTTGTGTGCACGTCTTGTGCTCAACAGTCTTGTGCTGCCAACTTTTGTAATGCACAGTCTTTTGCTGCACAGTTTGTGACTGCACAGTCACGTGCTACACAGGTCTTGTGCTGCACAGTCTTGTGCTGCAAAGTCTTGTGCTGCCACAGTCATGTCAGCTGCACCGTCTTCGTGCTTCACAGTCATGTGCTGCACAGTTTTGTGCTGCACAGTCTTGTGCTGCACAGTCTTGTGCTGCACAGTCTTGTGCTGCACAGTCTTGTGCTGATCATTGTGGGAATGTTGCACCACCTGCACAGTCTTGTGCTGATCATTGTGCGTAGTTGCACCACCTGCACAGTCTTGTGCTGATTCATTGTGGGATGTTGCACACCTGCACGTCTTGTGCTGATCATTGTGGGAATGTTGCACCACCTGCACAGTCTTGTTCTGATCATTGTGGGAATGTTGCACCACCTGCACAGTCTTGTGCTGATCATTGTGGGAATGTTGCACCACCTGCACAGTCTTGTTGCTGATCATTGTGGGAATGTTGCACCACCTGCACAGCCTTGTTGCTGATCATTGTGGGAATGTTGACACCTGCACAGTATTGTACTGATCATTGTGGAATGTTGACACCACCTGCCACAGTCTGGTGCTGTTCATTGTGGGGGAATGTTTGCACCACCTGCACAGTCTTGTGTGATCATTGGCGGGATGTTTGCCCACCTGCACAGTCTTATTCTGATCATGTGGGAATGTTGCACCACTGCTCAGTCTTGTGCTGATCATTGTGGGAATGTTGCACCTCATGCACAGTCTTGTCTGAATTCATTGTGGGAATGTTGCACCACCTGCCACAGTCTTGTTCTGTTCATTTGGGAATGTTGACACCACCTTGCCAGTCTTGTGCTGATCATTGTGGGATATGTTGCACCACCTGCACGTCTTGGCTGATCATTGTTAGGGAATGTTGCACCATACTGCACAGTCTTGTTTGATCATTGTGGGACTGTTGCACACCTGCACAAGTATTGTTCTGGATCATTGTTGGGAATGTCCTGCACCACCTGCACAGTTCTTGTTGCTGATCATTGTGGGAATGCTGCACCACATGCACAGTTTGTGCTGATAATTGTGGGAATGTTGCACAACTGCACAGTCTTGTGCTGTTCATTGTGGGAATGTTGCACCACTGCACAGTCTTGTGGCTGATTCTTTGTGGGAATGTGCTTGCACACCTGACAGTCTTTGTTCTGCTATTGTGGGAATGTTTGCGCACCACCTGCACATTCGTGCCCCACCCCCCCCCCCCCCCCCCCCTCCTGCTTAGAATTGTGGGAATGTTGCACCACCTGCACAGTCTTGTGCTTGGATCATTGTGGGAATGTTGCACACCTGCACAGTTTGTGCCTGATCATTGTGGGAATGTTGCACACCTGCACAGTCTTGTGTGATCATTGTGGGAATGTTGCACCACCTGCACAGTCTTGTGCTGTTAATTGTGGGAATGTTGCACCACCTGCCAGTCCATTGTGCTGATCATTGTGGGTATGTTGCCACCACCTGCACAGTCTTGTTTCTGAGCATAGTGGGAAAAAAATGTTGCACACCTGCACGTCTTGTGCTGTTTCATTGTGAGGAATGTTGCACCACCTGCACAGTCTTCGTGCTGATAATGTGGGAATGTTGCACCACCTGCACAGTCTTTTGCTTATCATTGTGGATGTTGCACACCTGCACAGTCTTGTGCTGATCATTGTGGGAATGTTTTGCAACACCTGCACAGTCTTGTGCTGTTCATTGTGGGAGTGTCCCTGCACCACCTGCACAGTCTTGTCGCTGATCATTGTGGAATGTTTGCTACCACCTGCACAGTCTTGTGCTGTTCATTGTGGAATGTTGACCACCTTGCATCAGCCTTGTGCTGATCATTGTGGGAATGTTTGCACCACCTGCACAGTCTTGTGCTGATCATTGTGGATTGTGTGCACCACCTGCACCAGTCTTGTGCTGATCATTGTGGGAATGTTGTAACACCACCTGCACAGCTTGTGCTGATCATTGGGGAATGTTGCACCACCTGCACAGCTTGTGCTGATCCATTGGAATGTCTGCACCACCTGCACAGTCTATATTTGATCATTGTGGGAATGTTGCACACCTGCACAGTCTTGTGATTGATCTATTTGTGGGAATGTTGCACACCTGCACTGTTTGTCTGATCATTGTGGGAATGTTGAAACACCTGCACAGTTTGTTCTGATCATTGTGGGAATGTTGCACCACCTGCACAGTCTTGTGCTGATCATTGTGGGAATGTTGCACCACCTGCACAGTCTTGTGCTGATCATTGTGCGGAAATGTTTGCACCTCCTGCACAGTCTTGTGCTGATCATTGTGGGAATGTTGCACCACCTGCACAGTCTTGTGCTGATCAGTGTGGGAATGTTGCACCACCTGCACAGTCTTGTGCTGATCATTGTGGGAATGTTGCACCACCTGCACAGTTTGTTTGATCATTGTGGGAATGTTGCCCACCGCACAGTACTTGTGCTGTTTCATTGGGAATGTTGCACCCACCTGCACAGTCTTGTGCTGTTCATTGTGGGATTGTTGCAAACCACCATGCACAGTATTGTTCTGATCATTGTGGAATGTTGCAACACCCTGCACAGTCTTGTTCTTATCATTGTGGGAATGTTGCACACCTGCACAGTCTTTTGCTGATCATTGTGGGAATGTTGCACCACCTGCACAGTCTTGTGCTGATCATTGTGGGAATGTTGCACCACCTGCACAGTCTTGTGCTGATCATTGTGGGAATGTTGCACCACCTGCCACAGTCTTGTGCTGTTAATTGTTTGGGAATGTTGCACCCACCTGCCAGTCTTGTGCTGTTCATTGTGGAATGTTGCAACACCTGCACAGTCTTGTGCTGGATCATTTGTCGGAAGGTTGCACACCTGCACAGTTTGTGCTGTTCATTGTGGGATTGTAGCACCACCTGCACCAGTCTTGTGCTGATCATTGTGGGAATGTTTGCACCACCTGCACAGTTTGTGCTGATCATTGTGGGAATGTTTGCACCACCTGGCCAGTCTGGTGCTGATCATTGTGGGAATGTTGCACCACCTGCACAGTCTTGTGCTGATCATTGTGGGAATGTTGCACCACCTGCACAGTCTTGTGCTGCACAGTCTTGTGCTGAATGGTGCAACCACCGCACTGTCTTGTGCGTTCAGTGTGCGGGAGGAATGGTTGCAACACTGCACAGCCTTGTGTGCTGATCTTTGTGGGAATGTGGCACACCTGCACAGTCTTGTGTGATCATTGTGGAATGTGTGTATCCACCTGCACAGTCTTGTTGCTGATCATTGTGGAATGTTGCACCACCTGCACAGTCTTGTGCTGATCATTGTGGGAATGTTGCACCACCTGCACAGTCTTGTGCTGATCATTGTGGGAATGTTGCACCACCTGCACAGTCTTGTGCTGGATCATTGTGGGAATGTTGCCACCACCTGCACAGTCTTGATGTGATCATTGTGGGAATGTTGCACAACCTGCACAGTACTTTAGGATCTTCCAGGTGTAAGTTATGATATATCTCTCTGTGGTGAAGCTGAGTCTTCCGTATTATACCCATGTAAGATCACTTATATTATACCCATGTAAGATCACTTATATTATACCCATGTAAGATCACTTATATTATACCCATGTAAGATCACTTATATTATACCATGTAAGATCTCTTATATTATACCTTGTTTAGATCACTTATTTATACCCATGTAAAAGTCACTTATATTTATTATACCCATGGTAAGAATCACTTATATTATACAATGTAAGATCACTTATTTACACCCATGTAAGATCACTTATATTATTTTACCATGTAGAATCTCTTATATATACCCATGTAAGATCAAATTATATTTTACCATGTAAGATCACTTATTTTTTCCCATGTAAGATCACTTATATTATACCCATGTAAGATCACTTATATTATACCCATGTAAGATCACTTATATTATACCCATGTAAGATCACTTATATTATACCATGTAAGATCACTTATTTTATACCATTGTAAGATCACCTTATATTATACCTTGTAGTCACTTTTATTATACCCATGTAAGAGCTCTTATATTATACCTTGTAGAGACTTATTTTATACCCATGTAAGATCACTTATATTATACCCATGTAAGATCACTTATATTATACCCATGTAAGATCACTTATATTATACCCATGTAAGATCACTTATATTATAGCATATATTTATATTTTATTTATATTTACCTATTGGTGTAATTTACAGTGTATTTGTTTCTCTACAACTTGGGTATAATATACAGTTGTAACATTGTTCACTTTTACATCTTGTATAATATACAGTTGTTAACATGTTCACTACCACTTTGTGTAATATCAGTTGTAAACCATGTTCACGTTTTTTACCACTTGGTATAATTGATTAGTTCAGGTGTAAACATTGGTCACTACCTCTTGTATAATATACTGTGTAAACAATTATTGCATTGTTCACTACCACTTGGTATAATATACAGTGTAACATTGTTCACTACCACTTGGTATAATATACAGTGTAACATTGTTCACTACCACTTGGTATAATATACAGTGTAACATTGTTCACTACCACTTGGTATAATATACAGTGTAACATGTTCACTCACACTTGGTGTTAACATTCGTGTAACATTGTTCTCTACCACTTGGTATAATATACAGTGTAACATTGTTCACTACCACTTGGTATAATATACAGTGTAGGTGGTGAGTCAGTAAGAGTGAGGTGTTCATCAGTGTTTTATCCTGTTACAGGAGTCACCTGGAGGTGTTCTGGGGTTGTCTTACTGGTGGAGGAGTCAGACTACTGCAGGAGTGTCACAACCTGAGGTCACCTCCGCCTGGCTGTGGTGAGTGACCACCATGCTGGTTGTCTCCTGCCACAACTACACCACACTGTTACCTCCACACTACATCAACTTGAGTGGCTCAGTAAGTGTTACACTCTGTACTGTACTCACCTAGTTGCACTCACCTAGTTGAGGTTGCAGGGGTCGATTCCAAGCTCCTGGCCCCGCCTCTTCACTGGTCGCTACTAGGTCACTCTCCCTGAACTGTGAGCTTTATCATACCTCTGCTTAAAGCTATGTATGGATCCTGCCTCCACTACATCGCTTCCCAAACTATTCCACTTCCTGACTACTCTGTGGCTGAAGAAATACTTCCTAACATCCCTGTGATTCATCTGTGTCTTCAACTTATAACTGTGTCCCCTTGTTTGTGTGTCCCCCTCCATCTCTTGCTCATCCTTTCTGTTGTCCACCGTGTCATTAATCTCAGTATTTTGTATGTCGCTATCATGTCTCCCTATCTCTCTGTCCTCCGTGTTCGTCAGGTTGATTTCCTTTAACCTCTCCTGTAGACATACCTCTTAGCTCTCTGGACGGGTCTTGTTGTAAACCTTCGCATTCTCTTGTTTTCTTTACGTGCTTGGCTAGGAAATGGGTTCCAAACTGGGCGCCGCATTTACCCAATTGGGCCTAACGTACACTGTTTGTACAGTGTCCTGAACGATTCCTTATTAAGATGTCGGCATGCTGTCTGAGGTTCACCCAGGGCGACCATGTGGTCTTACTGTGTGTGATGATGCTAGTTGTGTACTGTGTTCACTGTGTGTGATGATGCTAGTTGTGTACTGTGTCTTACTGTGTGTGTTGGTGCCAGCTTGTGTTACTGTGTCTTACTGTGTGTCATGGATGCTGTTGAGTACGGTTGTCTTTACTGTGTGTGATGATGTAGTAGTGTACTGTGTCTCACTGTGTATGATCGTGCTAGTTTTGTACTGTGTCTACTGTCGTGTGATGATGCAAGTTGTGTATGTGTCTTTACTGTGTGTGTGATGGTTGCTAGTTGTGTACTGTGTCTTACTGTGTGTGATGATGCCTAGTGTGTACTGTGTCTTTTCTGCTGTGTGATGATGATAGTTGTGTATGTTTCTCATGTGTGTGATGATGTAGTTGTGTACTGTGTCTTACTGTGTGTGATGATGCTAGTTGTGTACTGTGTCTACGGTGTGTGATGATACTATTTTGTCTACTGTTCCCCCCCACCCCCCCCTTCTTCTGTGTGTTGGTGAACTAGTTGCGTACTGTGTTCTTACTGTATGTGTGATGGGGCTAGTTGTGTACTGTGTCTTACTGTGTTGTGATGGTGTGTTGTGAACTGTGTCTCCTGTGTGTGATGATGCTAGTTGTGTACTGTGTCTTACTGTGTGTGTGATGCTAGTTGTGATTACTGTATCTTACTGTGGTGTGATGATGCTCGTTGTCTACTGTGTTTTTTATGTGTGTGAAATGCAAGTTGTTTGTACTGTGTGTTTCTCTGTGTGATGATTTCTGTTGTGTACTGTGCCTTACTGTGTGTGATGGTGCTAGTGTGTTACTGTTGTCTTACTGTGTGTTGTGCTGATGCTAGTTGTGTACCTCTTCTTACTGTTGTGATGATGCTTGTTGTGTCAGTGTTTTACTAGTGTGTAATGATGCTAGGTAGTGTATGTGTCTTACTGTGTGTGATTGATGCTAGTTGTGTACTGTGTCTTACTGTGGTTGTGATGATGCTAGTGTGTACTTGTGTCTTACTCTCTGTGTTGATGCTTGTTTTGTACTGTGTCTTACTGTTGTGTTGATTGCGAGTTGTGTACTGTGTCTTACTGTGTGTGATGATGCTAGTTGTGTACTGTGTCTTACGGTGTGTGATGATGCTATTTGTCTACTGTGTCTTACTGTGTGTGGTGGTGCGGTTGCGTACTGTGTCTACTGTGTGTGTGGTGTAGTGGAGTACTGTGTCCTTACTGTGTGTGATGGTTTGCTAGTTGGTACTGTGTCTTACGTGTGGGTGATGATGCAAGTTGGTGTACTGTGGTTTCTCTGTGTGATGATTCTAGTTGTGTACTGTGTTTACTGCACTTGTTTGAGGGTGCTTGTTGTGTTACTGTGTTCTTACTGTGTCTGTGATGCTGTTGATTGTACTCTGTTTATGTTTGTGATGATGTAGTTGTGTACTGTGTCTTACTCTGTGTAATGATGTAGGTGTGTACTGTGTCTTACTGTGTGTGATGATGCTAGGTGGTGTTACTGTGTCTTTACTGTGTGTGATGATGCTAGTTGTGTACTGTGTTTACTCTGTGTGATGATGCTAGTTTTTTACTGTGTCTTACTGTTGTGTGATGGATGAGAGTTGTGTACTTGCTGTCTTACTGTGTGTGATGATGTAGTTGTGTACTGTGTCTTACGGGTGTGTGAAGATGCTATTTGTCTACTGTGTCTTACTGTGTGTCGTGGTGCGAGTTGCGTACGGTGTCTTACTGTTGAGTGATGGTGCTAGTGAGTACTGTGTCTACTCTGAGTGATGATGCTAGTTGTGTACTGTGTCTTACTGTGTGTGATGATGTTAGTTGTGTACTGTGTCTTGCTGTGTGCGATGATGCTAGTTGTTTACCTGTGTCTTACTGTGTGTGATGATGCTAGTTGTGTACTGTGTCTTACTGTGTGCAATGATGCTTGTTGTGTACTGAGTCTTACTGTGTGTGATGATGCTAGCTGTGTACTGTGTCTTACTGTGTGTGATGATGCTAGCTGCGTACTGTTTCTTACTATGTGTGATGATGCTAGTTGTGTACTGTCTTACTGTGTGTGATGATGCTAATTGTGTACTGTGTCTTATTGTGTGTGATGATGCTAGTTGAGTACTGTGTCTTACTGTGTGTGATGATGCTAGTTGTCTACTGTGTCTTTCTGTGTGTGATGATGCTAGTTGTGCACTGTGTCTTACTGTGTGTGATGATGCTAGTTGTGTACTGTGTCTTACTGTGTGTGATGATGCTAGTTGTGCACTGTGTCTTACTGTTTGTGATGGTGCTAGTTGTGTACTGTGTCTCACTGTGTGTGATGATGCTAGTTGTGTACTGTGTCTTACTGTGTGTGATGATGCTAGTTGTGTACTGTGTTTTACTGTGTGTGATGGTGCTAGTTGTGTACTGTACTCACTTAGTTCTCACCTAGTTGAGGTTGCGGGGGTCGAGTCCGAGCTCCTGGCCCCGCCTCTTCACTGATCGCTACTAGGTCACTCTCCCTGAGCCGTGAGCTTAATCATACCTCTGCTTAAAGCTATGTATGGATCCTGTCTCCTCTACATCGCTTCCCAAACTATTCCACTTACTGACTACTCTGTGGCTGAAGAAAAACTTCCTAACATCCCTGTGATTCATCTGTGTCTTCAGCTTCCAACTGTGTCCCCTTGTTACTGTGTCCAATCTCTGGAACATCCTGTCTTTGTCCACCTTGTCAATTCCTCTCAGTATTTTGTATGTCGTTATCATGTCCCCTCTATCTCTCCTGTCCTCCAGTGTCGTCAGGTTGATTTCGCTTAACCTCTCCTCGTAGGACATACCTCTTAGCTCTGGGACTAGTCTTGTTGCAAACCTTTGCACTTTCTCTAGTTTCTTCAGTGCTTGGCTACCTGGAGTTTACCTGGAGAGAGTTCCGGGGGTCAACGCCCCCGCGGCCCGGTCTGTGACCAGGCCTCCTGGTGGATCAGAGCCTGATTCAACCAGGCTGTTGCTGCTGGCTGCACGCAAACCAACGTACGAGCCACAGCCCGGCTGATCCGGAAACTGACTTTAGGTGCTTGTCCAGTGCCAGCTTGAAGACTGCCAGGGGTCTGTTGGTAATCCCCCTTATGTGTGCTGGGAGGCAGTTGAACAGTCTCGTGCCCTGACACTTTTTTGTATGGTCTCTTAACGTGCTAGTGAAACCCCTGCTTTTCATTGGGGGGATGGTGCATCGGTCTGCCAAGTCTTTTGCTTTCGTAGTGAGTGATTTTCGTGTGCAAATTCGGTACTAGTCCCTCTTTGGATTTTCCAGGGTATATAATCATGTATCTCTCCTTCCTGCGTTCCAGGGAATACAGGTTTTTAGTTGTTTAGGTCGTGGGTTCCAAAAAACTGTGCCGCATACTCCAAATATGGGCCTAACGTCAACGGTGTACAGGGTCTCCTGGAATGATTCTTATTAAAGAATGGTCGGAATGCTTGTTCTGTGGTCTTGATAGGCGCCCATATGCTGCAGCAGTTATTTGGTTGGGATGTGCGCTTCCAGATGTGGCCTGGTTGTTTTATTCTGACCCCAAGAGCTTTTTCCTTGAGTGACGGTTTTGTAGTTCTCTGGACCCCCTAGGGACTGTACTCGTCTGCGGCCTTCTTTGCCTTCCCCAATCTTCAATGGATTTGCCACTTGGTGGGATTCAACCCCAGGGAGCAATTGCTGAGAACCAGGTCTGCAGCTGTCCAGATCCACCTTTGTAGTTCTGGCCTTAGTCTTCGATCCGAGTGATTTCTTCTTCTATCAACTTCACGTCATCTGCAAACTGGAGAACACCTTAGAGTTATTCATTCAGTCATGTAGCCATTCCAAAATAACCAGAACAGCAATGGTCCTAGGACTGGGCCCCTGCGGGGGGACCCGCTGGTCCACAGGTAGCCCACTCTGGACACATCGCCCCACCCCCCCCCCCCACGTTCTTGACTCGCATTGCTGTCTTCCTGAAAAAGTATTTCCCTGATCCATTGTAGTTGCCTTCCCTGTTATCCCCTGCTTGGTCCGCAGTTTTTGCACCAATCTCTTGTGTGGAACTGTGTTCAAAACGCCTTCTTGCATTCCAAGAAAATGCAATCACACCCACCCTCTCTATCTTCTCTTAACTGCTGTCACCATGTCATAGGAAAACCCTCCAGTAGGTTTTGTAGACACAGGTTTTCCCTGTCCCTGATACCATTGTTGGTGCTGTTGTTGTGATGTTCCTTTCTAGGTGTTCCACCACTCTTCTCTGACTTAATCTTTCTCCATGATTTTTGGCATACCATATACATGTCAGTGACTCTGGTCTGTAGTTTAGTTTAATGCTTCATGTCTATCTCTTTTTAATGTTTGGGACTTCATTTGCTGTCTTCCATGCCTCAGGCAATCTCCTGTTTAGATAGATGTATTGAATATTGTTGTTTGGGATACACATTGCGCTCTCTTCTCCGTCTCTTTCAAATCACCATGGGGAGATGTTATCTGGCCCCATTATGCATTTGAGGTAATCTACGCTCACTCAGAAGCATCCTTCACCTTCCTTCCTCGGTTTTTTGTGTGCATGTGTCTCAGCACTTGGTGGTGTGCCCCA